GAAAAGGAAAAAAAGAAAAAAAAGAAAAAAAGGAAAAAAAGAAAAAAATGAAAAAAATGAAAAAAAAGAAAACAAAGAAAAAATGAAAAAATGAAAAAAAGAAAAAAAAGAAAAAAATCGAACCTTTAAAAGCAGCCATAACCGACGGTTCTTCTAGGGAAGACGCCGAAAGTGGTCTAGTAGTAGTTTTGATTCTTTTGAATTGCAGTGCCATTGCTTTCCCTCTACATCGCTGTTTTTTTCGGCAGTCTTCTTTAACATTTTCCCACCTTTGCTTCGCCTGCCTTCTTTAACAATATTATGCCAATTTCGCGTCAAACAATATGACTGGTTGGTTCGCTTCATCATTGCCACCCAGACTTCGTGAACTTTTCAGAGGAATACCCGAAAGAGCGGATGCACACAATTGTTTTCGAACATGGAGGAGAGGTATCCATGAACTGGAGTGATCACGTAACCCACACGATTGCGTCCATGAAGTCTGGTATGTGATGTGAACTTGTTAACCTGTATCTACCTACATGCTACCTGCCATTGCCCTCTTCGGCTCTCACCGCCCCCCCACCCTCCCCCGCCCTGCCCCTCCCTTCTACATCTTTATCTGCTACCCTCTCCTTGATGGCAAGCCATTGCTCTTTTCAGCCCTCACCCCCACTCTTCCCCCCACCCCCACCCAACTGCTCATTTATCACATGTTCTCTTCCTTGTCTCTGTTATTCCGTCTTATCGGTTTAATTAACTTTAATAATTTTGTGAGACCTTTTTTTAGATGGTAATTTGTCTTCCAGTTCTCGCACGAGGGATTGTAAGCAAATTGCAAGGAAATTGAGTAACAGCGAGATGACAATGTCCAGCATACACAATCACATTGAAGGCCAGATAGTAACGCTGTATCCAGAAAGCAGAAATGCACCAATATAACACCAATGAAGAATCGTAACACTGAAAACCAATGTCAATGAGAGCTTGCTCTCGCCACCACCAACATGAGTGTCCAGGCCCTATCTCCTATTCGGCGCTCGGCGCCCAGCCTACTCCCTACACAGCTACAGTCTGCCTACTAATTGACGATGCAACTGTTGACGTCAGCAGCCCCCGAAGTACTTGAAGATGTCGCCCATAGCAGACCATCGCCAATACCAGGTATGTGCCCTCACATCATCATCATCATCATCATCCTTCCCTCTCTCTCCCTTGTCTTACTTCCACATCTTCCCTCTGTACACCCGAAGACCACCCCTGCGCCTCACTGTAGTCCAAGCCCGCCAGCTATGGTGGCTGGGCTATGGCGCTGCCCTCAGCAGCGCCCTCCTCCTTCACACGACCGCACGTGCCCACGCCTTGCTTCTCAGCGCCTGTAGCAGCCGCGAGCCCTCGCTCCAGCAGCGCTGCCGCTAGGCATGCAAGTGCATGAATGCCCCGCCAGGCAGCGAGCTCTTTCCTATATGGAAAGAGCCTGCCTCGTTTGGCAGCCTGACTGGACTGGCCTGGGCCAAGAAGCTTCCGGTAGGCCCCAGGGTGCTGCGCCTTTGGTGCAGCTACTGGACCTCATTCGGTTGGGCCTCTAAACTGTCTGTGTATGAGGCTGCGAATCTCGCCCAGGGCCTGTGCTTTCCGGAAAGGCCTAGAAGGCCTGGGAATTTTCCTCGCTGCTCGGCCTGTGTTTCGTTCAACCAACTGGCGTGACGAAACTGCCTGGACCCCAAATACGAAAGGCCTAGAAGGCCTGGGAATTTTCCTCAGTCGGGGGCCTTTCGTGATTGGTTAGGCCCGCCTTCACTTAGGGCGGGCACAGATGCAACAGGGGCCCCTCAGGCCTGCCGAGGATCCGAATCCTCGCAAAATGGTCACAGTTTAATAGTTTTGTGAAATCTTCTTTTTATAGATGTTCTTTTTTTTTGGGGGGGGTTACGTTGCCAGTGGAAAAGGAACCAGACTGATGCTCCCCATAATGGATATGGAGTCAATTACGGACCCTATATGGAGCCAGGACCATAAGGACCCGTCTCATAATGAAAACATAAAACAGAGGACTCTGCTGCCCACCCAAACTGTTCTTTCTGACTCCAGTGACCTGTGATGAGTGTATACTATATAGTATACAGTAATACAAAGTTGTTAACCTGTACTGAGTTACACTAATGTGGGGACACTCCGGTCATTGCAGACGTTTGGGAACATTATTTTCTCTCTCCCCCTTCTTTCCCTTGTCCCTGGAATTAATAAATAGCCTAACAGGAAGAAAAAAAAAATCTCAATCCGACACGAACAGCGTCTTCTTAATGCCTTATGCAGTTCTTCATTGTGAATACACTGGTTGGCAGTGCACAAGTTTCATACATCCTTCTTCCTTTTGGCCTCCTCCCCCCCCACCACCACCTCTCTCTCTCTCTCTCTCTCTCTCTCTCTCTCTCTCTCTCTCTCTCTCTCT